CTCTTCCGTAGCTGCTCTTCAAATTACCCTGTCTCTCTTTTGTACAATGGAATGGCCGTTGTGGTCGTTCAATCGTGCAGAACTTTCAGTTGCTACAGACAGCATGAAGTGAAGTGTGTATTATTTTTGTCAAAGCTTCGCCGCCATATGCCGTTAGTTTCACTGTAGCGCCATTTTCGGCAATGAGCCGTTCCTCGCTTCGCCCGTTTCGTTGCATGCCGCCCTTTTTTTGGCAAGGTATTTGGAATTTTGTCAGTTTCATCTTATCTTAAGGTTTCTTATAATTATATCGAGTGTTACGGTTATCATCGCTACACTGTTTTCTGTAAAAATTGCTACCCTTTCCTTCCAATCTCTTGTCTGCCCTTTATGACAGTCCTTCGTCTGCTTTTAGAATCAAAATTTATCTCTAACTAATATCGCAAATCGATTGAATTTCTTCATGCCTAGATTGTTTTCAATCGTTTCTTTTACCGTTCTGCAGTTGAATGCTCAGACGTAGTCTTATATTTGTTTGCTTACAGATACGGAAAGTTTCGCGTATTGGTTCACTGATTTCTGATTTATTCCTGTCTCCATTTCTTTTCGTCTATTCGTTAGTTCTTTCATTTCCGACGTGACTTTTCTCTGAACCTCCATAATCCTTGTCCCAGAGATATTTTCCGCTGTTTCTGTAATTTATGTTCTTCGCCTCATCTTCTTCTTCTTGCCTGCCACCATCGTCGTCGAATTGGCTATTTAATTTGAGATGGAAGGGTGAGAAATTCTTCTTTGATGTTTCTACATCGAGTATTTTCCTTCTGTTCCTCAGCAATTTCATTTTCTCCAAAGCTGAGTCCAGACACCGTTTGCATCTGACGGGTTGGTGGTTCTGCCCTCTGCATTAAATCAGTTGGGCATCACGACGTTCTGCACCATGCTCTTCCCGTCTGATAATAAAATCGATTTCATCTCTGATATTTTTTGGCCTTTCTATGCTCATCATAAGCGTGCTGTGTCTTGCGCTTTTTCTTTAAAATGTTGTCTATGACAAATTACTTATTCATTCCAGCAAGCTCCAATAGCCGATTACTCAGATGATCGGCCAGCAAATCGATCCATTGATCATTTTGTTTGTTGATATCTGACTTTAGCCGTGAAATCACACATTATGAATGTGTAATGGCTGTACTCATAATAATGCACTTTTAGTGCTTCGTAAAAGTTTGAAACTGTTCCTCAAGATGGCTTGATCTCGACATATGTACTTTGAGGATCACTTTTCAATTAGCATCTCTCTGAAATTCTCAAAGGCTGTCTTGTCCACCCCTCTAAAATGCTATTCACTTGTTCTACACTAGTTTTCAAAATCTTCTGTAAACAGTGAACCATACTCCCGACGTACTTTCATTTTTTCATCCTCTGTAGAATAGGGAGTGTCCAGGAGTGTCTACTTTTAAGCTTTAACAGCCCTTCCTCTTTTCATTCAATTTTGCCGAGATTCACAATGATCTGCCTTGTTACAGTAAGTTCTTCCTCGAGCTTTCGAAACCTTGCATCACCCAGAAGTGATATGCGGCTATACGTCGCCAGTGTCAGTAACCCGCAGCAGCTCTGATCCATAACCTGAGCATTCATAATACTTTATGCCTCCATGCCTGACCAGTTCTTGTTCTCGTGGGTTTGGGGAGAAGGGTTGTGGTAATAGTTTTTGATTTCTTCATTGAGAAATTGGCCGTAACTCAACATACTGACTAGCCGGGTTGGTAGATGTTGCCTCTTTCACTCGGCCAGACAGATTTCGAAAATTTTCACACAATGGCTGAGCCCGCCAGAGCCTAGAGGCTCAACTGTACATAGTCGAGTTGGTGGAAGTGAGACTCAGAAGGGAAACACAGACTTTGCAAATGAACTGTTTTCAATGCCTTTACTAAATATAGCGTTCCTTTCTACTTGCCTAGTTTAACCGAATTTTCTTTAGAACTCGTGTGAGTTTCCATGGGATAACAGGAATTCTTTAAACTAACTTAATTTCTCGATTGAACATATTTGACGATAATTCCATGAGCATTTCAACAGAAAGATCAATGTCCTTATTTTATGAAGTTTGATGAGATGATCTTCGTTCCTCTTAACGACTGCAAACGTAGCAACCTGGTGCAACACCCCTTTTCAACAAAAATGTAATGCAGCATCAATCTACCATTCAGGTCTGCTCCCTGCTGAAATTCGTGAAGATTGTGTAATGCTCAAATTGAATCGCTGAATCATAGTTGCGAACAGTCATGAACTAACTGTCTTTGCATTTTAACCTAACACTGAACCTTCGATACCTGTAGGCGTCAAACGAGGACGATTCAAATATATCAGAATTGAGTTATATATGTTAGAAGTCATTTCTAACCGTGTGTACGCTTCGGCTGCTCCGCTATTAAATTTACCTGGATTCAAATGACGAAAAAGACAGCAACGGTTATGATTGATTAGTGAGATAATTCGTAACTTCATGGCGCACCGGCTGTTAACAGAAGAAAATAAAACAATGCGACATACTCCACTCCGTAGCAATTTAATTAGCCAGCAAAATGACAATAATTAATGCGATAAATTTCTCCCTTAATCGCGAAGCTTCTCAGAGCAACAGTGAAAAGCATGAACCCCGCCAGAGAAACGAAACAATTTTCTGGAGTATGTATGGTACAAAGATTAAATCCGCCCAAAGTATGAAATGCACAAATTAATTAAATAATTATCCGGAGCATAGATGATATATAAAAATTAAATTCGTTGCACACTTCTCTGGCAGCCATTCATTTCATGTGTGCAATAATCCAATCCAAATAGCGAGTGACTTGTGTAAACGCAGGCGGATGCTTGGCACTGGCGCACGTAACACCGAAACTGGTAATGCCGTGCACATAAAACTTGCCGTCCTTGTGACGGCATGCCAACGCGCCGCCGCTGTCGCCCTGCAAGAAAAATCACTGCAGTATAAATCAGTAAACTGCGTTTTCCGTGGTCAGAAAATTTCCTCAACAAGACTTAATAGCACAGTAATCAAAAGTTGAAATACTCATGAAGAAAGCCCGGATTTTACATTAAAAATCGAGACAAGCAGATTGTTCGAAAGAACTAAATATATCCCACAAAATCTTCCCTAACTGTTTATTCCATTGTTATTTTTATTACATTTACAAATGAATGATTGATAAATCATGCAAACTGCTGTAATTACAATGATAAATGCATTTCAAACGATCCTCGTTTAAATATTACTTCGTCACTTCAGATTCTCCGGCGGAAATGCAACCTTTTTGCACCCATCACGGGCATTGAACAACCGCCAGAGTACAGGATCACAGCCAAATGCGGTGATGAGTGATTTCCTTAATCGTCAAGATGTGTCATGAGTCTGAAGACCGTCAGCAAACCCCGTAGTAGATGGAAGAAAGACTCTGTCTCAGTGAGGGTACTGCAGTTACGTCCCCTGCATAACGGCTTAGGTACGAATTAGTAATAAACAGAAGCAAGGAGAAAACTTTTCGATATGCCGCGCGAAGTTGATGCGAAAGCCAAGCAAATGTATATGGGAAAACTCTAAATTGATTGTATGAGAAAATGCAGAGATGGATGCTGCACTAATAACGAAGTGAATGAAGTCAAGCAATGACCGCTTAAAGATCAGTTTCATGATTACTGAGATCGTAATTGATTGATGCGAAGGTGCGGATCAAACATTTCAGAATGTGTCTACAAGCGTTCTGGCGATTTATTCTATTTGTTGCCTTTCCATATTCTTTGCCTCTCACTATTAACGTAATGGACGTTAGGTCGACTGGATACTTGGTGACTTTTACTGACAAATATGGAGTTCAGTGTTGCTCAGCAGTTTTTCAAAAAAATCGTTTGACGCAAATGCCCTACCACGTATGGTGTTTTTCCCGGCCAGTCATATATTCATCCTGGCGAAGGTAGTGCAGCTGGAACTAAGAGCGGAAAGGAGCTGAAGTGCAGCAATGATGATAAATAATTATCTGGCATACACGGCAGTGCAAAAGTATATTAGTAGCACATACGGGCTTGATCCACTACGGATACTGTGAAGTTGAGCCACGAGCAATGGAAAATTCGCTGACCAGAGAATGGTAAAAGGGTTCGACAGAACACCTAATGTCTGTGAGGTACCATGTAGGATGTAGAAACTTTAACTGCTAATCCACAAAGGAATTTGACTTACCATCCGTTATAATTTTTGAAATGAGTTCCATAAGGTACGCTCAGCACCGCCTACAATCGGAGCGAACGATTGAGGCTGGCCCAAAATTTGAACAGTGCTTCATTAAAAGTACAGACCAGTGGGAAGCAGATTGCATCCTTCGTGTACCCTTGATAGCTTGGTTTTATAACCTTCCTAGAACTTGCGAATTCGTGTAATTACCTCACTGAAGGCAGATGATATCTGTCGCTATAAACTTCTTCGTCCTTTCTATGTTTTAAAGAAATCACAGTAAGCAATTACCTGACAAGTGCTTTTTCCTCCACTCTCGAATCCGGCACAAATCAAATTTGGCGCTTTCAGCGAATTATAGTGTTTTGCCCCGAAGCAGGTGCTGCTGTTCATATAAGGAATCGCAACTTCCTGCAGAATCGTGGCGGTACTGCCGGTAGCTAAACATATATTATCACCTTAGTGAATTCCATGATCGGTTCATTATTAAAACTGCAACAGTCATAAAAACAACTACAATATTTTAATATTTGATAACAGCCTGACTACGCTCCAGTTTGGCTTGACCGTGATAGAACTGTGATCGTTGCCGCAGTGGCACTTGTTCACTACGTAGCACAACAAAGCTATTGGCCTTGTAGCACTGTTGGCACGTATTTCTTCACAGCTCATTCATCAGATCCCTTGCCTATTGTACAGGTATTCCACATATCTTAGTGTTGCCTCACTATCCGTAACACGAACTCGACGACCTATTGGCTTAGCGTCTGAAAAGAACTAACCCAGACTATCCATATCCTGGACAACAAGTGCTATCCAAGCGATGAAAGTCTGTGCCGAACCTTTTACCCTTCAAATGGTGAGGAAAACGTTTTCAGTGTTGAGAGCAAATACTGTAAAAGTTTTTTAATTCTGGCCTTTGAAGACGGCGGCGGAATTCAGGAAGACCGCTTTGTAAGGACAGTCGCTAAAGGGACATTTGCGGTTAAGTCGGCAAAACGTGTCATGACTTTTGGCCTAGACTAGTTTCGACCAGAGATAACAAAGGCGTTGAATCAGAGTCATATTTGTTGACTGATCCATGTGTGCCGCTTTAATTGGAATCCTGGAAAGGGCAAAAGTATTTCAGTGCGATTCGGTTATCCCTGTGTTGAGAAAGAGGTATAAGAAAGCATCAGAAACTACATCAACTACGGAGCCATCTCCTGCCGTCGTACTTCATCGAACTCATGAACAGTATTTGTCAAAGAAATGCTAAGAAATGTCAGTGCAAAGCGGTCAGGACGAACGGTATGAATTTCATCAGAATCGCATTGCAGTTAATCAGGTCGTTGCCTTCCGTCTAAACCGCCATGAAACGTTAGAAGAATGAAAAGCGTGCATATGTTCGAGTCACATGGAAGGGAATGGCGAAAGCAAAGTCTTATGGAGGGCATGTACAAGAGATCGAAGCTATGGAGAGTACTTCAGGAATATGAGGCGAATGACCACCCACCGAAGTCGTCGATTTTTTACTTCTCACTTAGAAGTCTGGGTTTTGATAAATAACTGAGAATTAACGTATTTTAAATTATATACTGCTCATTGTCATATTCGTAGCTTTCATAGGCTGAATCTCCAAGCTCGGTAGATCCAGTAAAACGTAATAGTTTGGATATTCGACTGAATCTCTTGTTCCTTGCATATGAACTGATCCTATTCGTTGCCGTTCTTTCTCTCTCAAGGCACGGACTGGAAAAGTACTCTTTCGCTAATGTCAGGTTGAAGAGAAAGGAATAAAAATCGAGGTTGGTACATTCTGGAAAAAAATCGCTTCTTGTTCCTGCACATTAAAGACGCGCAACTCAAACAGGCGTGGGAGTATTTCGAAGTAACATTGACGGATTGCGGTGGGCAAGATGCAGACATATCACCACAAATCGTTCAATTCGGTCCTACTCTATGCGCGCTTAACCAACTTATGGTGATAAAGTAACTGTTGGATAATAAAGTGAAGATATCTTATTTCAAATTTTATCACCTATAGTGATATAGTGACAGTGATCATAGCGGTATATATCTTATAGTGATATATATATATAT